CACAGATACCAGAACCTCTTCTCACAGATACCAGAACCTCTTCCCACAGATACCAGAACCTCTTCTCACAGATACCAGAACCTCTTCCCACAGACACCAGAACCTCTTCTCAGATAGCAGGTGAATGAGCTGCAGTTAAGCAATTAGGCAGTTAGACAAGGGTAGATAGATAACCCTCAGAGCAACATTTCCTGCCGGCCGAACAGCCCATAACTAAGTCCCTTCCTGCTTGCAACCCCCATAATTAAGTCCCTTCCTGCTTACAACCCCCTCTGCCTACCTATATATGCCCTGAGAGAAAAATACAATTTTGGAGCTTGATCAGACGTCCCGTCTTGCTCTCATTCTTTGTGTCTCTTGTCCCTCTCATTTGCCGGCCCTCCCTTTAGGTCCCCGTTGAGGACCCCGCAGGCCGGGGCAGAGCAAGTTTCAGGCTATCTAGAGCTATATAATGAGGTTCTCAAAAGGTTAGGGTCATATAAAAATGTCAGGTGAGATGGTGTGTGCTTGTAAACCTGAAGCTGGGGAGATGGGGGGGGGGACAGATCTGCGGCTCATTGGCAGGCCAGTCTTGCCTACTTATTGTCAAGTCAGTGAGAGACCTTTTCTTAAAAACAAGATGGATGACACCTGAGAAATTACGTCAGAGGATGGACTTCCACATGCCTGTGCACATACTTGCATGCATACAAGAACGTACATGTACGCATGCGTGCACCTTGAGCATGTACACACACACACACACACACACACACACACACACACTCACACACTCACACACACACGAGAGGGCCTGTAGATGAAATTCAGTTGGTACTTGCCTAGCATGCACAAAATTCTGGGTTCAGTCCCAGCCCATAAAAACTGGGCACGATAGTACATGCCTGTAATCCTAGCACTAGGAAGGTAGAAGCAGGAGGGTCAGAAGTTCAGGACCACGCTCATCTACACAGTACATCCAAGGCCAGCCTGGGAAACAAGAGATCCTGGAGGTGGGGGTGGGGCCTTGGGAAGGAGCTGGAAAAGACCAACACAAGAGCATACAATGTGGGAGAGAAAGCATTGGTGTGAGTCCCAGAGAAAGGGGCGGGAGCGTTGTTTGTTGGCCTGCTTTTGCGTCTAGGTTCCAGAGCTTGCTTCCTAGGTCCCACACTTTGGGCCTTGAAAAAGTTCTTTCCCTCCCACATGTTTCAGTACCCAACTCTGCAGTGTTAACAGCTGGCGACCCCTGCTTTGACCATCCCACCCCATCCCGCCACTCAAAGGCCGGAGGCCCTGGGTCAACCCTCCTTAGAACGGTAACCACCCTTACCCCTCCGAGGCTGCCTGCCACCCTCCCAGGCTGGCCCAGGCCTCCTCTTTCAAGCTCACTGAGTATTTAGAAGCGACCGAAAACAGGCAAGAGACACCAGGGTTCAAATCCGGGTTTCCTCATCATGTATTCACAATTGGCGGTGTGTGAACGGGACAAATACCGCCCCCACCCTTGGGGAGGGACTTTTTTGATAGAGATAGAGGAAACAGATTCAAGACAGGAATGCCATCTTTAGGATGGCAGGGATTTTTTTGTCTATTTGGACTTTCCATCACCTGAAAAGGTGCTCAATAGAGGAACGTATTTTAAAAAGGAAGTGTCTGAGTGCTAAGATGTCTGGGAGAAGCGGGTTACAGAAGGAAGGATTCATTTTGACTTGCAGTTCAGAGGATAAGGTCCATCACAGCGGGGAAGGCATGGGGGGGCCGGGCAGCTCCACTCAAAGGACCGGGAAGCCAGGGAACCAAAGCAAATGGGGCAGAAAACAGGGCTAGATCATAACCCTCCAGGGGCCACCCCAGTTATCGGGGGCCACCAGTCACGTCCCACAGCTTCCCAGAACAGCACCCACGAGGGACATCTCGAATCTAAGCCACAACAGCACCGTTGTGTGGTTGAAGTTCTAGTTCCACTGCCCGAGCAAAGTGACCGCAGATGGAGCGGCTTAAACCACAGGAAGGAACTGTCACAAAGTCGAGAGGCTGTAAGGACGTGATCACAATGTCTGCCCAAGGATTCCTTCTAAGCTTATAAGAACGTCTGTCAATTTGTAGAGGGCAACCTCCTCCCATAACCTCTTCTTTTTATGTGCGTGTGTGCGTGTGCGTGTGCGTGTGCGTGTGCGTGTGTGTGTGTGTGTGTGTGTGTGTGTGTGTGTGCACCCTTGTAAGCTTATCCACGCGTGTGCAAAGGCTAGAGGTCAACGTTGGATTTTTTCCACCGCTGACCCACCGTATTTTCGGAGAGCGCCTCCTACACTGCTGGCAGTGTGTTACCCCGACCCCAGCACTGGAGTTACAGATAGATGGGCACGCCTACGCCCAGTTTTTTACACAAGTGCTATGGATCTGAACTCAGGTCCTCGTGAATATATAAGGACACCAATCATACTGGATAAGAGCCATTCAAAACACTTCATTTAACCTAATTACCTCAGGGAATGTTCTGGCTCCAAATAACGTCATCGTCTGAGGTATGAGCGATTTCAGCATATGAACTTGGAGACGGCCATCATTCAACCTATAATAGTAGTTAATAAATATGAGCTGTGGTTAATGATAACATCAGTAACAAGGAAAAGTAGGAACAAAAAATCAAAGTTATTAACAGCAAAGAAAATAGCTTTCTCCAGTTAGCTCAGAATCTTCTAGTAGGTCTGTGTCACCCATGATATAGAGGCCAAACCCTTTAAGCTGCCAGTTAAAGACTCCTTGGACCCCAGTATACCTTCACCTTGTGCCCCAGCCCTCTGTCTCCATTCCAGACCACAGGGCCACACTCACTCCATCTCTTCTTGGCTCCTTAGCTGGGAGTGTGCTCCCCACGGGAGGGCCTTTCCTCTCCTCTGCTTATTCAACTTCAACTCCTCAGGAATCCAGCTCTGCCTTCGTCCCTCTGGGGAGTATTTCTTGGGCACGGTTCACAGTCAGTGTCCCAACACACTCAAGAGACCACTAAAGAATACAGAGCTTTGTTGCCGGAGAAGTGGGGAGGGCCGGGGGGTCAAGGAGGAAGCTATGGCCACCAGTTTCCTACGGGAGCTGTCACGTGCTGTGGAGGAGCAGGCCAAAATCAAAATCATGGCAAGACAGGAAAGGGGGGAGGGGAATGTGGTTTGAATGTGGTCCCCCAAAATCCAGGCATTTAAATACTTGGTCCTCAGTTGTTGGCTGTTGGGGGTAGGCTCATGAGGTGTGGCCTTGCTGGGAAGAAGTGTATCACTGGGCTTTGGCTTTTGAAAGGCACTTCAAGTTCATTTTTTTCTGTTCCCTGTTGTGGTTCAAGATGACGGTCCTCAGCTCTCCGCCTCCCGCCTCAGTCACCAACCTGCCTACTGCTACACTTGACTGTGCTCATCCCTCTGCAACCCGAAGCCCAAACGACCCCTTTTCCTTCTCTGAGCTGCCTCGGCCGTGGTGTGTTATCCCAGCACTAGGAAAGAAACCACTGTAGAAGTCCTGCTTCGCTTCTCTGCCCTGCTGTCTCCTTCCAGGGACCCAGCAAAGAGCCCGGAGACCGGGGTGAATATGGGACAGGCAGAATAATCAATGTACACCACCTCTGTCTCAACTCTTTCTGAACCCAGCTGGTGCTGAATCCAATCACAGGTCACTTCGGTGACCTGTGGCCGCTGAGAGCCATCTTGGCTGATGATCTTCCTTATCAGTGTGTGGCTGGAGCCATGGCTGTCACAACAACAAAGATGGCCGAGTGAGTGACCTGAGTTTGCTGGTCAGTAATCTCCCGGTGCCTCGATCCCCTCAGTACCGAGAACAGAGCTTTGCTGGTAGTATGTGCTTAAGGAACCAGAGCTGGATACAGCCTGGGGTTTCAGATAAGTGTGGGTGGGATCCGTGCAAATACTTATTGAAAAATCGCCAACTCTGGAAGAACAATTGTCAGGCCCATTTCCTGCTGTGCGTGGAGCCAGGAGACACTGGGAGCTTGGCAGCCTGTCAGCTGAGGAGCAGCCAGGGAATTTAGCAGGAGACAGAGAAAATGAGTCCTGCGGGTCTGGCCCGGCACCATCAAAAGCAGACACTGGCAGAGCCTCTCATCCCAGATGCAAGGGCCAAGGTGGGAGGGTGCTGGCCAGGCTTGCACAGGTCCCCTGGGAGCCTGAGCGTTTGGAACGCAGAGAGGAGGCAGCATCTTGAAGAGACAGATGGTTCTGTCCGAGACCAGACATCGCTAGAGGATCACAGTAATAGTCACCTAAGGGACATTACAGATGTGTCTGTTGTGACACCTGCCGTATCGAGGCTCTGGTAGAAACTATTTGCCACTGACTTAGGCTAACGGTTGAATGGACCGGAAGTGGGCCCTTGCCCATAGTCTAAGCCTTGATGTGTGCTGGATATAGTGCAATCGCTATTCTAACATTCTTTCTGTTATGGACCTCCGTGGCCATTTCATCTCCCTTTTGAATTTAAGAGTGGGTGTTTGATTCCATTCTGGCCAGTGGAAATAAGTCTGATAGGACTTCTGGGGAAAGAGGATGACAGAACCTCTTCTGTCTTTAAATGAGGTGTCCCCACGTGATGCCTACAACGGCTGCCATCTTACTACCAAAAGATGGAACAAGGGCTAGGAAGCCTAAACCAGAGGGGTGGAGAGAATCTCAGCCCTGAAAACAACCAGGGCTCAAACCCTGTGACCCGGATAGTCCCCTTCTGTGGGATAACAAATGCCAATGATGCTCGTGTCACCGAGGCTCCAAGAACACTGTCTGATGTCACAGCAAAGACGATTGGCTAAGTCAGGTAGACCTTGTCCCTACAGGATCTGCTCAGGAAAGGTAGAGAACTTCAACTATTGCATAAACATTGGTATTTTAATATAATATTTCTGTTAACTCTTTGATAATTTCATACAATGTATTTTGATAAAACATTTAATGGTTGTGAATCTGTTTCAACGTTTGTGACTTTTTAAAGCCGTTGTCGGTTTTAAAGTGTAAAATAAATGGAGCATCAAGCCTGTGAAATAGTCCCTTCTACCATTTGCTCATTTAAGTAAAAATGTGAATGAGTTTTAAGAGTATATTTTTAAGATTTCTTCTTCCTTCCTTCCCTCCCTCCCTCCCTCCCTCCCTCCCT